ATGCCTGAAACCGTGGATAGTACCTAACCCTATATATAGTATATTTTCCCTATATGTATATACCCACAATAAAGTTTAATTTATGAATTAGGCACAGTGAGAGAATAAAAAAATAGAATAATTATAACAATAGGGGCACCTATTATATATTATATTATAATATTATATATATATATTTTAACAGTAGGGGCACTTGGGTGGCTCAGTCGGCTAAACCTCTGCCTTTGGCTCAGGTCATGATCTCAGGGTCCTGGGATCGAGCCCCATGTCGGGCTCCCTGCTTGGGAGGGACTCTGTTTCTCTCTCTCTCTCTGCTCCTCCCCCCTGCTCCTTCTTCCTCTCTCTCTCTCAAATAAAGAAATAAAATCTTAAAAAAAAACCCAATATACTGTAATAAAGGTTATGTGAATGTGGTCTCAAAATATCTGTACTGTACTCACTCTTCTTGTGATGGTGTGAGATAACAAATGCCTACATGATGAGATGAAGTGAGGTGAATGTTTCTGATGTTGTGACATTGCATTAGGCTGCTTTTGACCTTAAATTCGTCAGAAGGAGGATCATCTGCTTCCAGTCCAAGGTTGACTGTGGGGTAATTAAACCTGCAGAAAGCAAAGCTGCAGATGAAGGGCATTACTGTATCATAGCACTTATTATGCTTTTACTAACCACCCATTCTGTACCAGGAAGAATCCTAGCAATTTTCCTGTTATTCCATTTAAACATCAAAATAATCCTAGGAGGTAGGTATAGTATATAGGTATATTGTTGTAAGTAGAAAATAGAAAAAGGAAATGATTTAAAATTTTAATATTAAAAACTAGTATCTAAGGAAAAAAATACATTTAACTAGAGGGTGATAACCCTGGGATTAACTGTATCATATTTACAACCATTATCTCACTGATCCTTGCAGCTACCACTATGAAATGACTATTTTTTTCCATTTTATAAGTTTTCTGATAATCAGCACATTTCAGAGTCTAATCTGAAGTAGGTAATAGGGGACCAGGAATCATGTGGAAGAGATACAGTTTGATACAATTCCCATATCAGTTACAAAGCAATGGTTTTAGTCTAGGGCAATATGGTCAAGGGATAGAATAGTCTATAGAAGGTGGCCGATGGGAAAGTAATAAGAAAAGTCAGGCATAATCCATTGGTTGAATGTACCAGATGTTCTGAAATCATATGTTTGTAATCTAGGGAATGTCTGGATTTGATGGATGTAAAAATTACAAATGCTCTGTAATTCTGTACTCGAAAATTAGCTATAAATTTCTTGGTTCACAAGGAAATTGTTGTTTATAAATAAATGGTCTCATTTGATGAAGAAATAAATCCCTTTCAAACTCAGGGATTTTCAGACAGTGTATTACTACATATGAAACCAGAATCTAAACTATTTTGGAAGCAAAAACAAGTTAATGTTAAATATTTAATGTCATATCCTTGTTCAGAGCTATAACAAGTTACCAGTTCAGTGTGAAGCAGAGATCCACATGACTTGATGTACATTTATTACCAATCCGGATATTGTCTGAAGTGAGCTAAGCCTTCTCTTACTAGATTTTAAGGAAGTTCTGCTTAAGATAGATCCTAAGGGATAAAGTGAGAAAAATCCTTAAGAAAACAGGGTTATAAATATCATAGATTTGGTTATTCAAACAATTCATATTCTTTGCTAGATATAATTTTTTTAGAGAATTAATTCACCAACCGAACCCTATTACTTGTTAGGCATTAGGCTAGGTGCTGGATATACAGTATTACGTATTGTAGTGGTGTGTCTCCTTTGTCTGCAAACTGACAGTTTTTCAGTCCTTCCTGGTTTTTTAGGACCTTGACACTTTTGAAGATACCTGGTCAACTATTTTGTAGAACATCCTCGGTTTGGGTTTGACTCATGTTTTCTCAAGGTTATAATGAGGTTGAGGATTTGGGGAAGCATACCACATAAGTGATGTGCCCTTTTCACTGCATGGTATCAGCATGCACAGGACATTAATAGGTCTCACTACTGGTGATGTTAACTTGATCACTTGTTTTATGTGATGTCTGCCGGGCTATTCCACTTGTAAGGTATTGTTTTTCCCTTTGTAATTAAATATTTAGGGGAATCCATGATGTTTTCACTGAAGAAATTATCCAGATTTTTTTTTTTTCTTGAAAATAGTCTTACTGACAGCACAGCCACTGTGTAGTCAAAGCCATGGTATTAGAGGCCTAGAAATGCGATTCTATTTATATGAAGAGCAACCAAGTATAAGGTCCATGTAGCTATCCTATAAATGCATGTTCTGTTAAAGTCTTCAAGCTCACATTTTCCAAGAGGAAAGAAACTATAAAAGAGACAAATGAAGCATACCTGTTGATGATTGGGACATACATATAGTGGGTAACACTGAGGGTCTCTCAATTCCTGATTACCACACCACTGGAATTCAGGCAATCACTAATCCTAAAGCTGTGAGCACAGATATTCCCCGATTTGCTTTAGTAATAGGTATGAAAGGCATTTTTTTCTGGGGCTCACCTAAAAGGGATGAACACCCCATTTTAATCAGAATTTACTTCCCAGCTGATCTTCAAGAATGACATAATTGAGGAGTAAATTTACAGGGAAAATATTTCCCTGGAAAATCCTGTGACGTGACACTGGTCTTAGAGGTAGGTATAAAGATAGTAGATTTATTAGTGATGAACACTTATACTATAGAAATACTCAAAGAAAAAAAGAAATATTCAAAGAACAGATATGAGTCTGTCTGCCTGTTTTTGCAGAACAAACTAGCCTTGCAAAGCCGAAGTATATCAACACTTTCCCATGATAGATAATACTCAGGTGACAGAGAAACAGAAGAGCTCCCTACAAAACTTTGGATCATAAATCTGGCTAATATTACCAAATTCAATGATACCAAATATCCTATTTGAGAAAAGTTTTGAAAGCCTAGTGAAAATATTAACAGTAGTGATCCCCTGGGGAAATTTTTGGAGTCTTTCGCTTTTTCATTTATAGTTCTGTACTATTGGATTTTATTTATTTATTGACTATGATCAGGTACTACTTTAAATTGAAAATAAATTAGACAGGAAATTTTTTTAAATCCTATTTTTAGTAAATACTAAAGCCTTGCTATAGCTTTGCTATAAGTGAAATGAAGGTCAGAATACAATAAATTAATCTCAATAGAAGTTAGTTACCAAAGTATCCGAAGGACATTGGTAAAGGGTAATTGTTCTACGACAAAAGCTTGAGAGGGATTCTAAGTTTATGTGGGACTCAGTGGATGCCAGAGTATGTGGTTGGTTAGATGTTTTAGCCACTACTTGGATTTTTTCCCATGTAGTTTATAGTTGAGCAAAGCAAAGGTTGAGAAGACCTTTTTTTTTGTTCATTTAGATTTTGCATTATTTAGAATCCTGCCCCAAATTTTAAAATTAGAGAAAGGGGTCCAAGCTAAAATTATTTTTGTTTTGTGAAAAGTAATAAAAACTCATCGAAAGGAATGGTATCTCACTAAACATTTGCAAGTTGTTTTGTTTTGTTTTTACATAATTATTTGCTATAAACCCGAGTACCTATTTATGAAAAAGCCAGAGGGGAAGAAAATGCCTTAAAAAATATTATAGATACGATAAAAGGGGGTCAGGCCTCACGTAAGAGCAAAAATTGCAATTCCTCTTCAGAGGATTACCTTCCCCCCCAACACCTGGGCGACTCTCCCCCTTTCCACTAATTCAGAAGAATGAAGGCCTGTATTCCCTCCTGAACTCTAAGTGAGCTGTTTAGTATGTGTAACTCCACCAGTAACACAGAATCCTGGCAAATTAAATGGTAGGTAAACATGGGAACAGGATACAGAATAAGTAAACATGAACAGGGTACAGCTTTCTTGAAAAAAAAAATTAAGCCAATATTTAACAAATGTTACCCCTGATGAGACAGATTCACCAGTTGGCTTTTCAGACATTTTTCTGTTTAAGAAAATAGTTTACATTAAGTGTCTCAAGAGTAAACAGGGTCAGCTTTGAAAAGACACTTTTGTTATTAATGTTGGAGGAACATGCTTGTATAAATTTATTGAACAGTTAAGTACTAGGTAAAACAGGGCTTGCATCTGATTTCTTAGGGCCCTTTTGTCTTCTTGCCATTAAGCTTATTCTGGGTTCCAAACACGGCTTGCCCTGCAGATAATGATGCGTGTGGTGGTAATTAAAAAAAAAGTAATTCTAGAAATGCCTAGGGGAAAACTTTTAAATAATTCTTGTGCAACCCTTGTGAGTTTCAGCTTTGAAAAGTCTTTCACACCAGGTGTTTCTCATTTCCACTGCCGTCCCACCGTGCAGTCGCCCCATCAAGATTCCACCTGTCTCCCCTTTCCCCGAAGGCGTAGTAGGCAAGCATTCCTCAGCGAGTGGATTCCTCAGCTGGCCTCGCCCGGCTCCACGTGACCTCCCCTAACACCTGTGTACGGCCTTCGGCTCACAGCGCCCCCATCCCCTCAGCCAGGTACCGACCCAGCCCGGCTCCCCCCTCCCCCAGGAGGTCACGATCCCGGGGCGAGCCTTGCTCGGGCCGGCAGGGGAGGGGCCGAGCTTCGGCCACAGCAGCTTCTCGAGCCCATGCAGCCTGATTATCACATGACTCGACGGCGGCGGTAGCCGTGGCAGCAGCCGCGCCGGCTCTGCCGGCTCGCCGGGTGGGCTCAGTTCCGCTCACGCAGGAGTCGAGCGCAGAGGGCGGGGAAGGGACCTGCTGCCGCTGCGGTCGCCCAGCCGCTCCCGGAGCGCGCGGCGTCTCTCCGGGCCCGGCCGGCCCGCTCCATGCCGCTCCGTTGCGGAAGTGTAGCGGGGGGAGGCGGCGGCGGCACGGAGCGCGGGAGGCCGGGGCCCGGCCCCCTGCAGCACTAGGCTCCGGGAGCCGCGCGGCGCGCCCCAGCGGCCCGGCTGCCCGTGCGCCCGGCGCCCGCCGCAGCCTGCATGCCCCGCGCTGCGCCTCGTCGGGCCCCCGCCGCCGCCTCCTGCTCGCACCGCTGCTGCCGGGCGCCGGAGTAATATGCTCACTCGAGTGAAATCTGCCGTGGCCAATTTCATGGGCGGCATCATGGCTGGCAGCTCAGGCTCCGAGCACAGCGGCGGCGGCTGTGGAGGCTCGGACCTGCCCCTGCGCTTCCCCTACGGGCGGCCGGAGTTCCTGGGGCTGTCTCAGGACGAGGTGGAGTGCAGCGCCGACCACATCGCCCGCCCCATCCTCATCCTCAAGGAGACCCGGCGGCTGCCCTGGGCCACTGGCTACGCAGAGTGAGTGTAGCGACACCGGCGGCTCCCTTGCTTTCCTCGCGGCCCTTCCCCGCACGGTTCCAGCCCTCCTCTCCTTCCTCGGCCCCAGGCCCTCCAGGGGCTGCCGGCGTCCAGGCCTTGGCGGGGACCTCTTACACTGGCCGTTCCTCTCTTTTCCCACTCCCCCTTCCCCCATCCCCAAGGACGCAGCGTCTCCCGCCTGGGTATGGGTGGTAGATGGTGGGTGGCAGCACTGACCGTGGGAAAGCTAAGGTTGGACGGGTCCATGAGTCCGGGGGTTGTGACACTTGGAAGAAAGTGCGTAGAACAGCTCTGCCGAAGTTTGAAGCACAGCAGGCAAATCTGGTATCAGCGCCCACCCTCCCAAAAATCTTTGCGCCTCCGCATGAAGTTTGTGGGGTAGAGTTGGGAGGAGCTGTCGCTGCGCTTGTGTGTGGGGGGGGGGCGCGTTCGTGTGCGAGGTTGCACATTTCAGAAGGGCTCAGTTTCTCTGACTTAGCCTAAGACCTCTCTCCCTTCTCCCTTAGCAGGTAGTAAAACCCTGCGCGTTCGGTAAATGCCAGTACTAGTTCCCCCAATCCACGGGGAGGGGAACTTATTTCGGGTGTCTAACGATAGCATTTTGGTAATCAGCTTTGGCGATTAAGCGAACGTTTGAATGATTTACTATTTCAAGAACTGATTCAGTTAGGTTGACGACCTGGAGTGGAACTGGGAAAGAAGGGAGGATTTTAATGGCCTTACCCCCACCCCGACCCCCAGCTACGCCTCCATTGACTGTTGATGACCATCTTATGAATGGTAGGATAAGTAATGTTTTTCTCCCTATTCAGCGTTATGAAACTGGGGAATTCGGAGGGTGTAATTTAGGAGATCAGAGATCCGGGCTTAACAATGACCCGATGGGTGCACAAGTGCACGCAAAACCCGGGTGCCTAGCACACCTGGCCCTTTTCCTTTAACTCCATCCGCTCTATGATCTTGGCCCTCCCCGATCTGCGAACAGCGTCGCTCGCTGATTGGTTCGCCCGGGAACCAATCGGCTCTCCCGATGCCTGGGCGCTTTGATGCTGACCCTTTTCTGGTGGCCCGGATACCCCCTGGCAGGCATGGTTCCCGAAGCTCCGGGTTCCGGTGCGAGAGACGGCATGGAAGACGCCCTAACTAGAATCTCCCTTTTCACCATATAACCTTTTCTCCATGGGTTTTAATAGAAAACGTGAATAGGGATAGGCGACGGGAGTGTGAAAAATGGTGAGAAGACAAGTGAGAACGCAGCTTGCTAAAAACAATAAAGATTAACACATAATAAAGGACAAGTATGGTAGAGAACATCGTGTGGGGGGAGGTACAAGATAGCGTTGTAACTTCCAGGAGAAAGCCAAAGCAAAAATAAACACCTGTCCTGTCCAAACATACCAAACACCGGTTCTTTAATGAGATTTAAAAAAAAAATGTTTAAAAGGCCATTTAGACGCGTTGCAAGCAAAGCAGCTTTAAAGCATACTCCACTAAGTCCTACAGTTGTGTGGGTGGGGGCCCTTGTGCCTGCCAAAAAACCCGAACTACCTGGCTAGTTGTCACTCCAGTGGGTTTCCCAGGGCAGGGGCATCTGTCTGAGGGACGGAATGACAAGCAGACAAATGGCGAGAAAGTTCTGAGAAGTATGAAGGAAGATATTAAAACACATGTGAAAGCTACTTGGTCGCAATAAAAGGAGGGCCCAAATAGGAAGAAAAGGAAAGGGGAATAAAACAACCGGTTTCAGAATGTTTGGGTCCTCTGGCAGGCACATGATGTGCCAAGGACTGTAAAGAACATAAGGGAATCTGAAATGAGACATGTAGCTGGAGTAGATGGAACTGAGGGGCTCTGCCTCCTCCTAGGTGGGCCTCCATTTCCTTATCTCTAAGAAGTTCACCTTTTCCTAGACCCTGAAGTGAGAAATGTTCAAATTGAAGGTTAGAAAGCCGCTGTTTAATTTTAAAAATCGGTTATAAAAGTAGTACATGATGTGGGAAACGGGGGCAAAACAAAAAATTAAATTTCCTTGCTGCTTATTGCCCACTGACAAGTCCTTGAAACAGGCAGAGTGACCTTCCTCTAGAAACTCAACTGCCCCGATGTTGACACTTTGCTAAGAGCAAGAGGTAATCTTAGGCCAACCCCCCAGGATCCCATAAGTCTACTTTAACATAGAAAAATTCCTTTGGAAATTCCTTTATCTCTATTCCCCAAGATACATGTTAGCAATCATCCCGCAAGCATATGGCCCACAGATACACATCTGAAGGGTCTCATGACTAAGGTTTTATTAGACAGTAATAAATGACCTTTATCTAACAATAGCCGGCCCCCTCCTGGAAACTTGTTTCCAAAATTCCCTAGAGATTTACACTATCCCTAACCCCCTCCCAACTTGAAAGTACATAATCGCCAACCCTCACAACCCCAATACGACCCTTTCTGCCCATGGGTCCTGCCCCTGTGCTTTAATAAAACCACCTTTTTGCACCGAGGATGTTTCAAAAATTCTTTATTGGCCATCAGCTCTGGACCCCAGTATTGCCTACATCAGTACATCCTTGTGAATTCAAACAAAGACCTGTACATATACAAATGTAGGAACCCCTCCCCCCCCACACATATTTCCTAGGGCTTATGACCGTAATTTAGTGTTTCAGTGGTGTGTCTGCCTTTCTAGACTTACTTGGATGCACTCATAAATACATATCATGTGTTTTTTTTTTCCAAAAATAGACTCCTACTAAGTATGTTATTCTATAGCATTTTCAGAAAAACACTATGTCATGGACTTCATTCCAAGTCAATACATAATTCTATGTGTATTGAAATACATTCTTTTAAAATATATGCATAGTACTAGTAATAGCTAACAAAGTTGGTGCTTACTGTTTAGTGTTTTCACTCTATCCAGATTTGTATCATATCATTTGATTCTCAAAACAGTCATAAAGTAGACAGTAACATTTGTGTTTTCTATAAAATAGAAATACACATATACATATATATAAGAGGATACAGAGGCACTGAATGGTTATGCAACTTTCCCAGAGTCCTACCACCTTAGCAGAGCCTGTATTTGAACCCAAGCATGATTCCAGAGCCCACACCACCAAACTGCTTTCTTACAGTGTAGTATAAACTATGGTGCATTCATCTGTACCCAGGATTAACCACCAATGTTATCTTGCCACAACCGTCTGTCAGAAGTACTGTACCACTTCCTCAGACCTTGAACTATACTTACTCTTCCTGCAAAAACACATCCTGAATGGTCAAAATGGCTGAAATAGGGAAGCGGAGAGAAAGACTGTAGGGCCAGGATCAGAGGCTGCTATGAGTAATACTGCCCTTTGCTACAGTATCTCCTGGAAGGAGGAATTCCCTTTGTTACAG